CAGCTGGTACATAGTAAATAAATAAGCACGTATTTCTGTAGAGTAAGTGTAACTGAGTAGACAATTTAGTAGATATCAGTGCGCTGTAATTATTCCTGGCTACTACAGTTTCATATGACCCAGTATATCCACAAGAAGACTATGCTTCTGTTCATGAGTACCACAGTGTATCTCAATCCATACACACAAGCATGTCTGTCACCTTAGGTCATTTCTCACTGCCACTTTCTATTCACACTAATGTTTACCCCAGCTTTTGTTTTACAAAACATACACTACTGTCTGGGATTTCTTTTAAATCATGCTTTTAACTCTCTCTCTAAGAGATGTACTTCCCACAAAACAAGTTGCTGGAAAACATCAGATCACTGTTTTTGAGAGCAGGCAGCAGGGAAGAAGCTGCCTTTCATGATTTGCAGCAAACTTAAGTGTCAATTACCTGGTCAGGCAAATTTAGGACTTGAAATTTCTACAGGTTGAGCACATCTGCTCTTGTTAATCTCTATGGAAATCAACAAAACAATATTTGCATAATTGTTCACTGTGGATATCCAAACTGTACAACTGGGTAAAAAAAGCACATAAATATATGGACAGCTAACACCTGACATTCACATTTGAATGTGCACTTGCTTTGGGACAGTTTTCCTTAAAGGATACTAATGGTTGCAGAAGTAAGATTCTTCCTTCTTCATAAACACTATGAAGTATTAATATAAAATTTATTGGCAAACACTTGTTGCCAGTTTGTATGACTGATTATTAATGGAAAGTAATGTAAGTAGGGTGGGACCAAATAAAAATTATTTTACTGCAAACTTAGAGCATCCAGACACAGAAAACAGCACATATTATGAATTTGGATTAAACCTTAATTTAGCTTGCACAGCTACTCCTATAACTGTAAATATTATTTTTCTTCCTTTTTAATGCTGCTTTAGCATTTGACTTGATGATGATCTTCTGTTGAGAAATAATCTTAAAAACAATCTCACAGGACATGGAACTAAACTTGAGAGACAAGAGCTTTGTTCTACAGTCAGGCACATCTTACTGTGCCATCTCACAGAAGTCCTGTTACTTCTCTGTGCCCCAGTTTCTTCACTGAACAAACTACATATGCTTCAATACATACGCTGTTATTTTTTTCCACTTCTACAGCTGAGCTGTTCTGGCTATGTTAACGTTATATCAAAAGGAGAAAATATGAGAAAATAAGAGAAGTGGGACTGTGTTTACTACAGGCTTAAAAATGTACTATGTTTAGCAGAAGAGAAGGAAATTAATTTTGAGGTATACATCAGTATTACAGTCATATAAAGCACTGAAATTAATGATGTTGTAATAGGCTAATGGAGTCCAGTAAATAAAATAATTCAGTGCAAACAAATTAGAGAGCCTACTGAATTTTTAGTAGTAGTCCATTAACCTAGGACAAAGCAAAGAGATATAAAATACAAAGGGCTTTTTTTCCTTGTTCTGCTAACACTGATTTCTTGGAAATTTCATTTATCAATTTCACTTTTTTCAGTGTCTCTCCTGACAAAGTCACAAAAGCAAAATCAAACTTGACAGAAACCAAGCTATACCTTTAGCTAAAGTGAGTGTGTGACCTTTCTACCATATGTAGCCCTGCTGCAGTCTTCAGAACTATTCACACACACCATGCCCCACTACTTCTCTGTGAAACCAAAATTCTCTCATCTAAACTAACATGCTGGCCTGGTCCTCAGGAGAAGTCAATTTCCTGGCTGAAAACAATGTAAGTTATTTTGACCTGGAGAAGAATCCATTCTCCCACATAAAAACTACAGATTATGAAAACCCCTCCTTATCCTTACAGTCTCAGGATTACTATTAAAAATTGCAAGATGTGGAGATGTTAAGGCCATTTAGGCTATGCAGATACTTAAGACAAATAGCAGTCGAATGGGCACAAGTACGTACAGATTCTTTATAAACAGAATAAAAAATGAAAAAATCTAGTATTTGATCACAGGGTGCATAAAATATCAAAGCATTAATTTTACAAAAAGGTTTGTACCTGTGTAGTTTATACTTACGCTGTATTTGAGAAGCATGCAGAGAATGTGTTACACATAATGCAAGTTATTTTCTCTCATTAACAATTTCTCTCAAATCTTATGACATTTTGATGTAGTAAACCACTTTTGGATCTATATAATGCCACCAAAGGAAATGAAGTACTTCAGATTCTTGTACTGTTGAAAGAGGGGGAAGCTAGGCAGGGATAGTCGCTCTGGTAGGTCTTGCAGTACATGCTAAGTAAGGATAGATAAATATTGACAAATGAGACATTAACTACAAGCAAAAGCAAAGTTGCATAAAGAGACTAGATGTTCTCGCTACACACCGTTTTCATCATCCAGAAATGAAGGCACTTCACCATTAATACAATGTTCACTGCTTCTCCAACTGAAGGAATGTACATCAGAATCTGTTTACTGCAGCTGTAAATGTCTCCATTTCACTGGTCTGATTTACTCCATTACAGGCCAATTTTCTCCTGCGCACAGCCAGTTGTTGTTCAGCTTATGCTGGGAGAGACCATTCAGGTCAAGGGCTGCATGCAAAAGTCCTCCGAAATAAGGAGTGAAGAGGTAGGAAAACTGCTTCCTCTCACGGAGAGGAAAATTAAGATTGCAACATATACACAACTGAAGTGCGCGAAGTGTCAGCTCCACTGATGCTGATGAGGTAAACTGTGCGAGTACGTGAAACAGCACAGTGTGACTTAGCCTTTTCATCCCTTGCCTTTGTGGATTTCTGTCAAAATGTTGTGAGCTAATTCTTTCACAAAGCTGCAAAACAGTAATAACTTCTTACTTATTATTACTTGGTGACAGACATTGGATGAGGGAAGGAGGAAGACATCATTGGGGGATAAGCCAGCAGGAGGAGGTTTCGTCTATCAGCAGCAGTGCATAAGCCATCAGCAGCTGTGCAAACACTTCACTGTTTTAGGATAAAATCAAATAGAAAAGTATCACTCTAGATGGGGAAGGTTAATGTATGGTAGCCCTCGAGCAATCACACGGTGAACATATTCCTTTCTGTGCTGGTCACTGCCCAGCTGCAGCAATCCATCCTGGTGCATTCACACTTGCCATTTTCTTCCACACTAACATTATGCCAATGTTAACGTCTTCCACACTTAACGTACTAACATAATCCGAACCTTGTGTGTTTGAGCGTAGTAGGCATAAACATTCTGTTAGAGCTGGCATTGCTGAGAAAAGTTCTCAGATCCAGCTTTGAACCACAGCCCCCCAATGCACCCGATTTGCACTGTGAAAACTGCAGTGTGTGGATTTGCACATCCGTTTCTCTATCAGGTTTGATTTAAGCATCTGTTTTGTGAAATGGGAACTGGGTAACAATGAAGTGACAAATTCCATTGAAAATACTGGAGCCAAGCTTGGGAGACTTTACAAATTCTTTCTTACTATATTTTTAACGTGCAAAATGAAAAGTGTGTTGAGAACGTGTGAAAAACAAATCTATGTCAAGCCAAATGGAATCCCGGCACCTACGCACATACAGGCCTTTATGATTCTGCTGGTATGCGCAATTCTACAGCTCCTATGGTATCATCTGCAGTTACTGAATTCTCCATCATTCTGTAACTCATACAAACTCACCAGCTTTAGGGGTAAATAGCAGCATCTTTCAGTTTTCAGAGCAGAAGCCAAGGCCCTCCTCCTCACTCATGGCTTGTAAACAGCTGCTTTCCACCAGCAGAACTGCTCTCCCAGATCTGACCTCACCCCACAGCTCCCCAAACTCTACACCGTCTTTAAGACACCGTGCAGAGATTGTCCAAGGCAATGCGTATCCTATTCCCTTTGAGCGTACTGAAGAGTATTGGGAGCTAGAACTACCTCCTGCTTCCTTTCTGTTCAAGAGCGTTTTCTCCGTCTCCTGAAGCCTTCTTGAATGTAACTGACGTACTTCAATGTCAGATGGAGCAAGCTGAGCAGAACGCGGACTTCAGGTCCCTGTTTACACACAAACAAAACCGGGACCACCTCTCGGCCTATGTGCAAAGCTTGCCTCCGCACCCGGGCGCACCCGCCATTTTACGCCTTCGAGCCAGACAGGCAGGCGGCCGCGGCGGCTCGGCCCTCTCGGCGGGAATCGCGCCCCGGCAGCCCGGGAACAGGGGAACTGCTGCTCAGAGGCAGCGCGATGCCGTCGAACCGGAGCGAGCGGTTCTGCCTGTGAAAACGAATGTCACTCAGAACCCGGCCTTCCCTCCTCACCCGCACCCCCTCCTCCTTCCTCGCCGCCGTGCAGGCAGCAAAGAGCAAGTCCCGACTGCACTTCCAGCAGCGTGAACCCCAAACGCTTGTGCTGCCTCCACTCGGCCCCGTGACCCGGCGGACCCCCGCCTCCCGCTCTCCTCCAGCCAGCCTGCTCCCCGACCAGCGCCCGAGGGGCTTCACAACAGACAGGCGAGCCGGCGGGACCCCCCCCCGCAGCTTCACTCCCCGCCGCCGTTTCCCTCTCCGGGTGCGGAGGCGCGCTGCCACACCACACCACGACACGACACGCCTCGCCCGAGGCCAGACACGAACGCCACTCGCGCCCCCGCACTCCCGCCGCCAGCGAAGGCAGGCCCGCCGGGGAGCCCCTCGCTTCTCCTCCCACCCCACCCCTCCCGCCGCGGGGCGCGAAGGAGGGAAGGCGGGCGGCCGCGTCGCGCCCCCACACCCCGCGGAGCCCCCGCGCCCCCGCCGGGCCCGCGTACGCCACCGCCCCGGCGGCAGAGCCCGCCGCTCCCTCCTCGCTCCTTTTTTCCCCGCCCCCGGCCCGCGCGCCCCGGCCCCTCAAGGACTGCGGGGCGCTCAATGTCAGGCGGGCGGCGCGGCGCGGCGCGGCGGCCGGAAGGGGGCGGGCGAGGGGCAGCGGAGCCGGCCCTGCGCGGAGCGCGGCGGAGAGGCGGCGGCGCGGGCCATGCCGGGCGGCGCGGCGGCGCGGAGCTGAGCCCAGCCCAGCCCAGCCCAGCCCATCCCAGCCCAGCCCAGCCCAGCCCCGGGCGGCCGAGCCCCAGCCGCGCCGCTGAAGGGCACCGGCGGCGAGGCTTCTTCCCTGCGCTCGCCCCGCAGCATGGAGGCTGGGAAGCGCAGCTCCGCCGGCAGCCGGGACGATGGCAACGCTAACGCCTTCCCCGCCAAGCCGGCGGCCCCGGCGGAGAAAGCCCAGAGCAGCCCCGGCGGCGGGGGCAGCGGCGTGAAGGAGCATGGCAACTCGGTGTGCTTCAAAGTGGACGGCGGCGGGGGCGAGGAGCCTGTGGTGGGCTTCGAGGATGCCGAGGGGCCCCGGCGGCAGTACGGTTTCATGCAGCGGCAGTTCACCTCCATGCTGCAGCCGGGAGTCAACAAATTCTCCCTCCGCATGTTCGGCAGCCAGAAGGCGGTGGAGAAGGAGCAGGAAAGGGTTAAAACTGCAGGGTTCTGGATCATCCACCCCTACAGCGACTTCAGGTGAGCGCGGGGCTCCGGCCGCCGCCGCACGGGGGGGGCGGCCCCGCCGCCTCGCACCTCGCCCGGCGCGAACTTCGGCGGGCCGCGGAGGTGAGGGGCCTCCCCCGCGGCCGGGCCCGGGCTCGCCCCCTTCTCTGCCGCCCCCCCACCCCCAGCAGTGGCAGGCTCCCTGCCCCGCTCGGCGGCTGAAACTTTGCCTCCCCCCCTCTTCGCATCCCCTCCCCATCCCGTGCGGCGCCGAAGGGGCTGGAAGCCGGCTCGGGGAGGCCGCCCTGCCCGCTCCGCCGTCCCCGGGGCGGCCACGGTGCTCGGCCCGGCCCGGCGCTCTCCAGCGTGCTGCAGCCGGGACGGCCCCGCAGGCCCCGTGGCTGCCGGGGGCGGCTCGTCCCGGGCCGGCCGCGCCGCGGGGACCGCCGGATAGCCCGCGGCCGCAGGGCGGCGGGCGGGCGGGGGGTCGCCGCCGGAGAGGGGCACGGCTCTGCCCCGGGGCGGGAGAGCTGGCCGGGCCGCCCGCAGCGTGACTGCGATCGCGGTGTCCGTGCTGGGCGCACCCCGGGCCCTGCCCGAACACCCGGAGTCCGCGCTTGCCCGGCGAGGGGCGGGGGGTTTGGGGTCGCGCAGGGGGGAGCACGTCTCGGTCAGAGTTGCGGCAGAATAACTTTATTCGAACGACCTCTGCGTGGGAAACTACGTTGTTGTAGGTGGAGGGGTAAACGGGAAATTAGCGTCGCTTTCACGATACGTTGGACATATGCACAATTGGAGTATTCGTATGAAAAGCGGCGCAAATAAATTCGCGGGAAGAGATATATCCCTTTCAAATTACATTTTCAGTGAAGGGTTATTTCACTGTGTTCTCTATGCCAGCTGGCTGTATGCCGTTGTAAATTTAACACACTCTGATACTTGCTGAAGAACTATGAGTGTCGTTTAGCATATTTAATCAATTGCATGAATTGAACAGACTGCATCTATACAGTAAGTGAATTGCACTGGAGACCGTGTTTATGAAACAAAAATCCTGAACATTCAATAGTTACATGGATCTTCTAAGAAAAAGTAGGTTTAACTAACACATGCTTCCCATGGGAACAGGAGGAAATACTTCCAAAGTCCAGGTTTCAGTGGGACTCTGTTCAGAGTGAGGTGTTATGCAGTGAGCTGTGCTAGCACCTTGCAGTTGAGCCCAAGAGCGGTATAGCTACAAGTGGAGGAGCAGGGCAGCACCTGATTATGACTCAAAGTCATGCTTCAAATCCCTGCTTTTTTCCTGGCTCCCTGGAGGCAAGAAGCCACACTCATTCTCTTCCTGGGGAACCCTTTCCCCCTTGCATGCCAGCTCAGCTGCACTAACTAGCAGGTGCATTAAAGGGGGAGAGCCAAAAGTCCCACACACTCCGTTTCTGCCAGCCAGAGAGGGACGTAGCAGGTCACATCTGGTGCTGTGGTAGCATGTGTAGGGGATTGGGGAAGGGGGTCTGGTACCGTCTTACCGGTGTGTATGCATGAGCAACTTTATTCATGTGAGGATTCCATTAAAATTAATGGCTTTATTTGTGAGAGTAAATTCCCTCATTTTGTTGTAAGCTTGGTTTCTGAGTGAGGTGCACAGCCCAGCGATATTTTGGGCAATAGGAGGTTTTGCATCGTTCTGTGCAGCATGTAACTTTTTAAGATGACAAGTGAAATAGGTGATAAGTATGTTGATTCTGTTTCATTACAGAAATGTCTTCTAATTCTGTCCTAATTCTTCCTGTGTGAAGATTCCGAGATCATAGCATACCTTTACTTACTTTTTTTCAGTAGGAGTAAACAACACTGCATCCTTTTCAGGCCTGTTGCTTGCGTATTCTTAAATTAACTGTATTTCCAGGGGGCTTTATTATGTTTCTATGTTATTAGAATGGAGGTATTTGTTTATAAAATAAAGTTCATAGTCTTTCATTAGTCTTGGGATGGTGTGGCCTGATATGGACCCAATTTTTTAGTCAGTAGGACTGTTCCAGTGAGAAGTATCAAATGTTTGCAATGTTTCTTCTGAAATAATTGCAGCTGTATAATGGCAGTACTCTTTTAGGGTGGCAGTGTTTACAGAAACAGGTGAAGAAATTTTACTATATAGTATATTCATCTTCCTAAATGGGAATTGTGACAGTGCTGTAAGTCCCCCCTAACAGTGTCACTGTACCAGAATAAAAGGGTATGTAAGCATGGAGTTGTTTTGATTTATTTTTGCATGTGATTTTGTAACAATGTAATGCTTGTACAAGCCTTAAAGCATCCAAAGAGACAGGGTTATTCTAATTTCAGAGTGTTAATGTTGATGCCACCAAGGGAAAGAACTAATTTTTCTACCAAAATAGTAAGAAAATGGCAAAAACCTGAATATTTTATGGTATTCACGTGGGAAGATTTAGAGTAAGTTTGTAAATGTAGCTATTTTTAGGGCATTTGTGACACATGAAAACGGACATCACAGTAAATTCTAAATGCAGTCACACTTGGGAGAATATTGGGTTAACCAAGTTAAGACGTGGGAAAGTTCTGGTACAGGCTCCTATACACTCTCATTTATTTTTATTTTTCTAGTTCTGGATGCTTGTATGCATTTTCTGGGATACTTTGATGCATTTGGTTACACTGAACACATTCTCATGATTTTTATAAAACCGTGTAAGTTTATCTACATCGAACAATATTCTGCTGTGTTGTTTGGGGGGGGTCGGCAGCATCCCTGCGACCTCCTGCCCCCTTTTTTTGGTATGAACAGAGTGTGGAAGCTGTGTTTGTAAACTTGGTGGTCTGTGAATTGGTTACTTAATGTCCTCACAGGGCTTGGTCTCTAGTTTTATTGGTCTCCGTCCTGCCTGTGTTTCAGGGAAGAGCTGGCTCTTCATCAGGCAGGTACACCGTTGGAGAATTAAATTCTTACGTGTTACATAATTTTTCCACAAGGGGACCATTTTGTTCCTGGTTGCCTTTTCCTAGTCTTCTGAGGTTAATGTCTAATTTGGAAGCTGTTATGTAAACCGAGCACCTAATGCATACCAAACCCACCGCGAGACCTCTGTTTATCTCTCCGCAGCTGCAATTACTGTGTCTCTAAACTTGGACGACAATTCAGTGTAACTGCATGACTCACAAAAGTGAATTTCTCATCAGTGTTTTCGTTAGGGTTTATTGAAGTCCTGCGTGCTTTCTGTGAGACATGGAGTGCCTCTGTCTGTCCCCGCTCGTGTGCGGAGGAAGGAGCCCGCGGGAGAGCGTGGCTGGCCCGGCCCCGGGGCCCCGCAGCAGCCAGACGAGACCAGCACGAAGGCAACGGGAGATGGGAGCAACTGCATGTGGTTCTGCCGCTGCCCATGCGTGTTTCACTCATTTCATAGCAGCCCAGACATGGGCTTTGGCTGACTTTTATATGTTACAGCCTTCTGGGATGAGTGGAAATGTACGTGGCTGACTTTCCAGATGATTAATTACTCAGGAGATTGTTCAGTGCTCAGAGGGCTTGCTTGCCCGTGCCTGAGATGTTGGTCTGGCCTTGTAGCATCTCCCTCCCGCCCTGTACAAAGAGAAACTCACACTGTCATGGAAATCTTGGTTTTATTACCACAACAGCTGGGGCATCTGTAGTCAGCAATCTAAAAAGAAAACAGGGTTACTACCTCCAGAGTCACATGGGAGAGGCATCTTTTGTGACCAGCAATAGCAATGTATGAGAGAAACTGAGTGGGAATTATACGTGTATGAGTAAATGTAGCCTTTGCGTGCTGATGGTTCAGTGTGATGTTTGGGAACAGCCTTTGACTGAAAGTGGGGACAAAAATTTTAATTGGCTTCAAGATGAAGTGAAGTAAGACTGGGATATGGAGTTGTCTGGCAGACAAGTGGATAAGGAGGTGCTGTGCAGGCAGTGCTGAAGGTGTTTTTCCTGTGTAGATGAATACAAAGTATGAACTGATTTGCAATAATAGAAAAAACTATTGACATTTTACATGGAGAGGATCTCTCTTGGTAACTTCTCGTCCATTCAAGGACCACAAAGCCTTATTTCAATCATAACAGAAAAGTAAAAGCAGAGTTAATTCTAAAACTTAAACAGAAAATTTCAGAGCACAGTGAATAGTAAAGGTATACCAGATTTTTTTTAATGGATGGCATTCAAGTTTCAAAACCTTTTTGTATAGACATTTGACGGTTATCATGTAAACACATGAAGTTTATCATATAAATCCTTCTAAATTGTAGAAAGTTCTATCAGTGCTACCCTGTAAGTAAATCTAATGTCAGGTTTCAGTGGGTTTTAATTAGAGTGAAAGACAATAATATTTGCATGTGTACATCTAGGTACTTACTGAAGAATGTTCTTGTGCCTGTGACTTTTAAAACCCATTATTTATTTTGTGTAGTTTTATGCAACCCATCCATGTTGTATGCACATGTGGCAGCTTAATTTTTCAGTTCCATATATGCCAAACTGTAAGTCATAATTGCAACCTATTACCATGCCTCCTGTTTTTTATTATACTTCTCTCCATTTTGAACTTATATTTGCCTTATGAATCAGTTTTCTTTTAATTTATACCTATCTTTTGGATGTGACTTTGACCACCAGCAGTCACCCTAATGTGGTAGACTGTGCATGGTATATGTGCAGCTCACATATGTACTTCTAAAATTTGTGCATGCACTGGTTTAAAGCTTGTTCTTCATTGCAACTGGTCTTCACTCTATGCGTTATACCTATCATTTATATTTTAAGAAGCTTAGGGTAAGCACTTTGTCCCTCTCTTTGGTCACATGTCTGTAATATCTCAGTTGAAGATAATGAGATTTATCTTTTTGTGAGCTGTTACATACTTAGGCTTATATAAAGCAGTAAGTTGGAAGGTAATGTTACGTGCAATGAAGACAAAATAAGTTGTATCATACTTAAATGTAATTGGTATAGATATATGTATGCAAAATTAAATACATAAACCATGTTGGTTTATATTAAA